CTTCATAGTAAGATCATATATTAATATCAATTATTGACCTCAAAAGTACCTTTTATTCCTTTGCTTCGAAGTCTAAAAGTGAAAAATATAAAACCTACAGTTTAATTCATGAATCATGCTCACACATGATTAATGTTGGGACAGGCTTAATTAGAATAAGAAAACTGTAATCAGTTTCGATTCAATTGTGAAAAACTCATTGTGTGGAGCGAAAAGTGTGTTTTTCTTTGCAACCTTTGGGACTTATGCCTAAATAAAAAATGATAGTTTTTGTTTCAATTAGGTGTGCATTGAATTGAAGTCAATGAAAATTAAGTTTGAGGATGGTCTAGTTGGTAAATACAAGAGTGAATACCTTTTTATTTAAATTTAAAAACCGAATAAAGAATCAAAATATCAATTTCAATTTGGGTTTTAACTCAAAAACTTAAAAAAAAAAAAAAAGAATCAATTTTTTTTCAGTTCAATTTGGTTTTTGAAAAGTTTGATTGATTTGACCTAAAAATCGATTTTTTTTAAAACAATTGAATTTTTATCTATTTTTTTAAGTTTTAAAATAATAAAAAATAATAAATATTTTAACATTACTCTCTCTCTCTATATATACATATATGATTGATTGACGATATTTTTTATCTATTATATTAATTTAATTTAAAAAATTGAAAAAATAATTAAAAAATCAATTTAAATTGAAAAAGAAAAATAAAAAATCGAAAGTAATTCAATTCAGGTTGGATTTTTGTTTTTATAAATTCAATTAATCAAAAACCCAATTGAATGATCATTTCTATACAAAAGTAGGTACATTCACCATATTGTAAACTAAGATTGATTTTGGATATTATATATGCTCGGTTTGCCCATAAATATTAATTTAACTATTATTCAATTTTATTATGTATTAATAGATTTGGTTTTTCTTGGTTTCGGTATGAATCTAAACTATATAACAAATAAGGTAAACTGAAGATATGGATCGCTCGAGCACAAAGTTTTGAACTATGCAAGGATGGACACATGTATTCGACAAAACTAGTATTCATGCTTTGTCCTTGAAAATTGAAATGTATTAGAAAAATTGATGCCGTGAGCTCGGAGAAGGGTTTGTTAATGAAGATCTTGATTGTTAGTTGTTTTAGTCTTTGCTAGCAAGTTAAAATAATTTAGTCTCAAAAAATCTAATTTCTTCAACTCAAATATGCTCATCTAAACGTAGATGACGTAACAAAATCTTAGTGGTCAATAACTATTTTTATTTTACAATAAATATTAACATCACATCACTATGAGAATCCTAAATACTCCCTCTCAAAATTCTCTCATTTACACATTAAAAGTTTTATTTATTTGGATTTTTACCACCAATCTATCTACCATTCGACTTACTCTTTGCTAGTATTGTTAGCTCTTTCTCCTGCTCCTCTTACTACTAGCTAAGGGTGATCATTCGGTTTTGATTTTTTTTTCGATTAACCGAATTGGCTTAAAAAAACCAAAACCGAACCGAATTGAGGTTCGATTTTTTGGTTTGGTTTTTGGTTAAAAACTAATTTTTGTTATACATTTTTCTTCTAAAAACTGAATTATTTTGCTTTTAAAAAATATCAAACTTGCATAATAATTGAGTACTGTTTTCAATAGTGATTGATTGATTTATTTTTTCATTTATTTGTGGAGGAGTTCACTTGTTTGGATTACAATTTACAAAGGCATAAGTTAATTCATTTACTAACCACATCATAACTTTTATAGCAATTTAACTTTACAACTCGTTACCATGAATACCTTCGTCATATGAATCTTATACTCCAATTAATAAATACACATTTCTCCATTTATTGAACCACATATAATCAAAGATTGCATATTTCATAATTTATTCTATAAAAAAATTGGATAAGATTACTATTATTTTTCTACGCTAAATTTGTTTCTATTTATATTATAAACTAGATTGGTTGGACTTTTCATTATTTTTTCAATCATGCTACGATTGGTTTTTTGTTAATTTTTCATATTCTTTTTAATCTACTTATTTTGTGCATATTTTATTGTTTAATAGATAATCCGAAAATTTTAATTTTTAATTTATGTTTAGTATAAGCATAAAAAGAGTGAAAAAATTATTATTGTTAGTTGTTATTAATTTTACTATAGTACTATTATAAATGTAGCGACTTGGGGTCAATTTTTTTAGGGGATATTTTTGTGCCAATTTTAATACAAGGAGATAACTTCGTTCCATGAGGTTTTATGATTCACCCACTCATAAACTTGTGTATTTATAATGAATTACTTTATCACGGTTTTTTTTATTTGTTTGTGAGTCAATATAATATAATCAATTATTTTATTATTTCAATAAATAATTAATGAAAAATATTTTTATTTTAAGTAGGAAAAATTTATTAAAGCTATTGTTTTTTGGTTAAATCCATGGGTGCCTCTTTTACTTTTTAAAAAAGAGCTTGGGTATGTGTTTTTTTTTAAAAAATAATTCATTTTTCGGTGGAAGCCGAATTTAAAAAAAAATCGAATCGAACCGAACCGAAATAATTTTTGTTTTTTTTTTTTTAATTTTTTTAAAACCGAACCGAAGTTGCTAATTTGATTTGGTTTGGTTCGGTTTAGTTTTTCTGTTTTAACCGAATAATGCTCACCTCTATTGCTAGCATTTATTCATTTTGGTTGGTTGATTGTTATTTTTAATATCACAATACAAACTCTGTGCATCCTAACAGTTTACCGACCGGATAAAAAACCTTCTCACACAAATATCATATCATTAGAATACATTTTCAATTTCTTATAGACATAAACATTTTTAATCTTTAATTGTTATTAAATATCCTAACAATCTATCAATCAGATAAAAAAACTCCTCATACAAATACCATATCATTAGAATACATTTTCAATTTCTTATAGGCATAAACGTTTTTAATCTTTTATCGTCCTTGTATGAATAATTTGTCTTTAATCAAAATAGAAACATGGACTTAATTTTGATGCATATATACAAGTTCTGTTTAACTCAAACGATATCAAATATCTACCAGCTAATTAAGTAATTAAGAATGTTCAAATAAAAATAACAATTAAGAATATACTATATATCATGAAAGCATCAAATAGAATCTAGGTACGCGTTGTCTATGTACCAATCTCTACATAGAAAATCAATTCGACCATACTCATACTGGTCATAGACTAGCTAGAAGCTTTGCATGCTTTTCAATGCTCCTAGAATCCAAGCAATTAGCAGCAAGCATAACATATATATAGTTACTATGACCCATTCAATACGTGACTAAGTACGTAGCAAACTGAAATAAGAAGGAAGAATTAAGACTAGCTGACCATACAAGTTTCAGACTTTATGAAATCTGAAATTTGTAACAAGTAAACATTTTGTTCAAAAATCAAATTACATGGTGCAAGTTTTTGTTGGAAAAAAAATCTCCCTTGCCTGTAATTTCCAAGTAAAAGTCCAAAATCCGCAGAACATAGAAAAAGAGGTCAAGCAAGATACCAAAGACCTGTCAATTGCATGTGTGTTCACCTCACATTTTTAGTCACTGGTGACTTTATGATAAACCGTGTGGGTACCACCATTGATAGATGTTCGTAGGTTTCCACCTATCTCCAATTTTTTTCTTGCTGACTAGGTCTTCTTTTAATGTTTTCTCTATCAACCAACAAAATCACCAAGATATCTTTACCCTCTATAAATATCCTTGCAAGAAACTTAGTGTGTCCATGTAGCAATATTTTCAAATTTTCATTGAGAATAACTAGCTATACTACACTAGTGACAAACCACTATAGACTGCCAATATTATACCATGGATGAAATGGGATTACCGCTTGATCTTCCAGGCTTCCGTTTCCATCCAACTGAAGAGGAGCTTCTTGATTTCTACCTCAAAAATATGGTTTTCGGTAAAAAAATGCGTCTTGATGTTATTGGCTACCTCAACATCTATCGTCATGATCCTTGGGACTTGCCTGGTACATATATTGCCTACACCCTTTTAATAATTTTACTTCATGTTATAACATAGTTTAACTAATTTGATCATGCATGCATGCTTACATCAATGTTAATGTTGTTGTATTATAGGATTGTCGAAGGTTGGAGAGAGGGAGTGGTATTTTTTTGTGCCTAGAGACAGGAAGCATGGTAGTGGAGGAAGGCCTAATAGGACTACTCAAAATGGGTTTTGGAAAGCCACTGGTTCTGACCGAAAAATTTTGAGCTTATCGGACCCAAAGAGGACGATCGGATTGAGAAAGACTCTTGTTTTCTACGAGGGAAGAGCACCAAGAGGGCGCAAAACTGATTGGGTCATGAACGAGTATCGTCTGCCTGAATATTCATTCCCCTTGCCCAAGGTACGTACTATATATTAATCTTCCCTTTAATTTATTTATCATTTTTTTTATCATATTAACTCTTGATATTTGAATGAAGAGTTTGTGTTATTTGATTTTTTTGGTAGATAAATTAGTTTGAATTATTTTGACATATCGTCACTTCTCAATTTAAAAGAAAAAGGAAAATAGAATTAAGAAAAGACCTTCACGTTGTTGTTTGGTTAATTCTGATTTCCCAAGCTTGCATTTTGCCAAGAAACTACACATAATTGTCGTTAGTTTCAAAGAATCAATGTCTCACTGTAATTAAAAAATTTATCTAATTTTTCTTGCGAAGAAGGGACAAGATGTCTTGCGTTCAAGCTCTGTTTTATTGTCATGTGGGATGTTGTGAATTGTGCTAATCAAAAGGGACTTAAACCATTCAATTCTATTTTATTATAAGGTACTTACTGTTTTTGAATTTTCCTGGTAACTACGTTTCTTTTCTTTTTTGCAAACAAAGATAATAAGAATGGACCCCTTTTTTGAAATAATTTGAGATAGTGATTCTACAAGTCAATTTGTCACTTTGCTCGAATATGCCTGTACTGGTCTTAATCTTTTGATATTCGATGCAGGACATAGTCTTGTGCAAGATATATAGGAAGGCAACTTCCTTGAAAGTTCTAGAGCAAAGGGCAGCAATGGAAGAAGAAATGAAGACAGTTCAAGCATCTCCATCATCATCCCCACCATCATCATCTCTGGACACCATGTCGTTTTGCAGTCAACTAGAAGATCCAGTGCCAACAATATTGCCTTCGCAACGTTTGGTTTTCAAGAAAGAAATAGAAGACAACAACCGCATTAGATATGAAAAAGCAGAGGAGATTAAAGGGCCAAGTCTCCAATTACCAATGGGGAAGGACAAGTTACCAGAGCTCCAAGTTCCCAGCAAATTTAGCATGGAGTGGAATCAAGATCCCATTTGGTCCCTAAACAGCCCTTGGCTTCAAAATCTGACCCCTTATGCAGATATTTTGAATTTCTAATCACCCTGATTATTAAGCTCGAAATTTTGGTTTTGTAGATAACTTTCTTCCCTATCCTAATTAGGAACTATTGTCCCAACTAGCTCAGCAAGTAAGAATGTTTTTAGCTGAGTGCTTAAGAGGGTGGCAATAACTGTAAGTTAAATATGTCCTGGAAGCTTATTAATTTGCTTATCTTTGTCAATGAACAGCTTAATTACCAAGAACTTAATTAAGAGCAGAATCAATACTCAAATACTCCTTTTTTCTTTCCTTTTTCGTGTAAAGCGGTATTTTGGAGTAAATTATAAATTATTCTTTCTTGTTTTGAGAAAAAAATTGATTAATCCTCGTTTTAAAAATTAATTATTTAATCATTTTAACTAGTATTGATCATGATTAATTTTTTATTTTTTGACTAATTTAATTTTTTTATTTTTTAAAACGTCTTATTTTCTAGTCAATCTTTTCATATTTTGTTTTTTATTTTTTCCTTAAATATTTCTTAAAAAAAAAACAAAAGAAATTGAAAATAGTAAAAAGGGCTAAATAATTAGGTTTTAAAAAAGAGGGACTAATTATTATTTTTAATTCAGAGGGACCAATTTATAATTTTCTCCAGTATTTTGTTACTCGTTGCTTGTTGGATCCTACGGATGGGCCGAGATGTTGGTTCTTTATTCTGATGATTACTTGGCTTTGACTCGATGAAATGGGTTAGGTCACTAGTTATTTACAATTGGGCCAAAATATTATCTTCGTCTAAATATATTTGGACTGACATCAATATTTCTTTTGGGTTTTTGGTATCAACCAATATTTGTGTTTGGATTTTACGTATTTTTTTCAGGAGGAATTGGTTTTTCGTTTTCCATTTTTTTTTTTGTTCATCCTTAATACAATCCTTGAGATTTTCAACATATATAGACGACTTACAATTTTCCTTTTTTTTTCTTTTTTTCTTTTTTTTGGTCCCGTGGCCATGACGAAGATTAAAGACAATTTGAACAAAATGCCAACAAATTAAGCCATCTATTCATCCCCATAATTATGGACAACTTAAACACGGACCAATGAATTAAGTGGGCCACTTATTCATGACAATGTTGCAAAGAGAAGTAGTAGCGATACTTTTCGTAACATTCTTTTTTAAATATTTATTCAATCAAAATGTTCAGATTAAATCTTTTCATATGATTTTTATGATAAACAAAAGATATTTTAATCTTTTATATAATATGAAATTAATTATAATTTAAAAATTTCATACGGAACATGAAGTATTAGTTATTATTTGATATGGATATTTTTATTAAATAAGTGATTAAAGAAAAGTTCCAGAGAAAATGTTACTACCACTCTTCATGTTACAAATTTTACATTCTATAGGTAATAACTGTTTACACTCCTTCGGCAACCTAGAAGAGTTCTAATTAATTGCACTATTCATCGTCGTTGTTTTTTTTTTTTTCATTAGTAATTTGACGGTTTTAAAAATACACATCTCCATATGATAATACAAGTCCATCTTTTGTTTTATTTACTTTTTCCCATCACACGACCAAAATTAATAAATTACAACAACTTTTAAATACATATGTTTAGAAAATCTATATTATATCATATCGAATAAATAAATTATATATAAAATTGAAAATTTTGTAGATTTTTAGAGTTACATGTAATCTAAATTAAAATTATAATTCAGTAAAGACAGCGTAAACTTTTAAATAGATTGCCATCACTATCAACCCTAAGCATTTTGCAATTTTTTTCCTCCACAAAAATGTCATGGCAATTCAAAAGATAGCAAGAACAAAAATGGATAGATAAAATGCATACAGAAGGCCTTAACAGCCAATTCTTTATTTCTTTGATCAAAACAGCCAGCATTTTATTGATATATTTTAGTCGTACAGTAGAAATATGTGCATGGAACAGTTACATGGACATGGTGTCTACGTGTGGCAGACTCCATTTCCAAATGGCTTTTGGCTGTCTAAATGTCCTAGACCCCATTTCCGAATGGCTTTTGGCTGGAGCAATCAAGATTGTTTCCATAGCCAACTCCAAGTACATCACAATACTGCTTGTACAACCCAATTCGATCCTTGTCGTCTGACTTCAATCCATTACCGCATTCAAGCTCACCATTGATGATGTTCGTTAACACACCATAGCCTGGAACTCGGCCAGCTGCCGAATCGGCCCCAGATGGAGACCATTTTCCGGTCATGACAGTGTGGCACGAGGGTTTTGGAGATTGTGGTGTCATCCAAAACCAGATAGCTGTCTTGAGGGAAATGACTGGATCGGTTGCAACAAGTTCAGGATTGTTTAATAGGTCCACCCCTATTGCTCTTCCACACTGCCCATAGTTGTAGTTCCTGTCACATGATTTATCAAATTAAACAGTATAACTAACTGTGTGAAGTTTTACGTAGTTTTTGTTTCCTTGGAATATTCAGAAACCCTTCTTTTTTTTTTTTTTTTGGCTATCTCAACTATTCTTCCATATATAATTTGGGATTATTCACGGCAACTCATGTCTTTTTGTTTGATCATGGTCTTTATCTTTTTTTTTCTTTTTTTTTAAAGAAGAAGAAAAAAGATCCATGAGAATTATAAATTCACGAGCCATCTAATAGAGCATCTGAACTTTACACCTTCCTGTGTCATAAAGAGTTGGACTTACCAAGAAAGTGGGAGAGGACCTCGGGCGTGATACTGCTTGCCACTAGCACATGGATATTTGGAATTTGGAGCACAGTAAGATCCAGGTGTAGTTTGCGACCCTCCTGCAGAGACACGCACCAACATTGTAGTGATTAAGTACTTATGCTTGATGTTCATGATCAGGTATAGTTCATAGGTTTCAGTTTCGACCTTTTCTTTTTTAAGAAGAAAAAGCCACAAATGCTGCAAATTCTGCCATAATATAATAGGATTACGATAATTAACTAGTCTTGCCTGTCCCAATTTTGATGCATTACCACTTCATGAGCCAAAAACCTAACAATTAACTTTTCAGTAATTAACTGATTAAACGAACCAATAGTTTGACGAAAGATTTGTCCGAAGAAAGCAGCAATCTCCCTTTTACGTGTGGCAACATCACCAGTATTTCCAAAGGCAGGGAAGGCCTTGGCAGCTGCAATGAAACCATCATAAGTGTAGAATCCTGGACTCCCGCTATCATTTTTACGTTTAAGCATCTGTTTAAACATTTCTCTTGAGATGCTATTAGAAAGGTCTCCTCCATCTCCACCTTCACCACCAGATTGGCTCTGGTGACGGCCAGCACCACATTGGCTTTGGCAACCGGCACCACAGTAAGGTGGACCCGTTCCACACCAACCATATTGGCTACAGCATAAGCCTCCTGGGCACAATTGACCCCTATTCTGACTTCCGCATTGAGCAGCGAAGCCTCCTTGTAAGTAGGACAAGGACAATAGAGAAAAAACTGTGAAGACCCAGAGCTTCATCTTGTAGTAAAATGTTGGGGATTTTGTTGATAGCTGAGATTGTTAATTAAGAGAAAAGGTAGATATTTATAGGGAATTCTTGCTCTTTGATCGATGAATAAAGATCAAGTGACGATTTTCGTAACATACAATCACTATATTCGGGATTATTGACAGGTGCATGAAGACGTGTAAACCTTCATGGCAACAGGGTCGACACGGCTTAAACAATGGAATCTACGTGTTTGGTAGGAGGTCGTGTAACCAAAACAGAACCTCTTGTCATAATCCTTTCATCAAACCTCAGCAAGAACGCATTCACACCTATTAAAGACAACAGGAAAACAAACGAAATTGATGTATATGTCTCACGCTAGGTTAGGGTAGCATATATAATTTAATCATGCCCAGAGTAAAACCAGTACTCCTCCATTCTTATAAAGGGAGAAAGAAAGTAGCTGCTGGAACCTACTAGCAATTGTCAGCCTGCAATAATAGTAAAGCTCGATGCTCACTCACTGTAGAACTTTCAAGTCTCCCAATCACCTTGCTATGATATTCATTAAACGGAACAATTTAATCCAATATAATCTGACAAGAATGCTTTCCATTACTGCTGACTGCCCGATTGTTATGCATAAAAAGCATAATGCAGCTTCAAGATCTTGTTCCCAAAGTTGTAAGAATGCATAAGCTTCTTTTCTTTTCTTTTCTTTTCTAATATTAGCTTAAAAAATCAATTTATCTTTATATAATATTACTTTAAGTTTCTCATTTATTCTTGCATATTATATATTTTTAATTTTTTCAGAAATTTTCAGTTCATCGTTTGACAAATTTTTTGATACAAATATTTTTTATTAAAATGAAAAAAAAAATTAAAGTCACATGACTTATATGTTCTATTTTTAAAATCTTTAAATATTTGTTTTTTAATCAAGGTATTTTCATCGAAATTTTTTTCTATAATCCAAAAAATTGATCGAAATGATATATCAAATATTTCAAAAGTTTTCAGATGTATAGAATGTAATTGAAAACACGATAACAAATGATAGATTTATATTAGTATATGATAACAAATGATAGATTTATATTAGTATATAAAAACACATTGATATATTTATTTTTAATATTATTAATGCACAATTTGCACATTTGAGACGCCACAAATTAAAAATATTTATCTTCCAAAACAATGCAAATATCAAAACACGTTATAATTTTAGAATATAACTATAATTGAAAATACGATTTGAACGTCATCCTAGGATGATAATTTTACTCGATTAATCACATATTTAGAATTACACAAGTTGATTGGGATGCATTTTTTGTCAATATATTTTACTTTAGTCAAATTAAATATGGATAGAAATTACCAAGTTTTACTAGGTTCTAGTGTTGGGATGAGAGGTTTACCCTCCCCATCATCCAATCCACATACTTGGTACCATATTTTATATCTTCAACCTTTTCTTTCGTTTTTATTTGGTATATGTGGATGGATTTAAATTTTAAACTTTATTTTATAGCTTTTGTCCTATTATATGGAAGTTTTATTTTATAAGATTGTGAGTTAAGGGTGGAAATTTATTAATTTTATATTTTAATTCTTCAGAATCTTTTTTTTTTAAATAAATAGTTTTTTTTCCAAAAAAAGAAAAAGAAAAATGAAACTTGAATCGGATCCGGTACCTTATGAGGTACCTGGCAAGTGAACAAGATCCGCTACACGACCCAAACCTTTGGTCCAAGGATGTACTTGCAGCAGTGGTTATGGGCTCCCAGATAGGCCCCAAATAAAAGTCACTGGACATAATTTTGGGTTTAAAGGCCTTAAACTAGTCGGGTAGAAGAGTTGAGTCCAAAATTCAGAACACTAACCGAGAAGAGTTCAAAATTGAAGTAAATTAAAAATTAGTCTCTCTATTTCATTAAAACGAATTAATTATGCTTTTTATTTCAAAAATTAATTATTTAATACCTTAACCATTATTAACCACACATAATTTAATATTAATTTATTAAAAAATTGGGAAAAAAAGAAAAAGATTAAATTACAAAAAAATTAAAATTATAAGGACTAAATGATTAGGTTTTTAAGAGAAGGGTCCAATTAATTTATTTTTGGAAACTAATTTATAATTTACTCTTCTAAATTGCACTAATCAATTTTTCCCATCCATTTTGGGCTGCTTGATTAATTAGTTCCCCCAACTCTATTAGCAAAGACAATTATCCTCCATATACACTCCGTCCATAAAATTAAGCACAGGGGGCAAAAAGCTTGCAGGCATGGATAAATAAAATAGAGGCATGCACAAGGCAAAGAAGAGTCATAATTTGTTATTTGATTCATAACAAAACAGGCAACCTTTTATTTTGTGTTTTTAGCCACACGGAAGGAGGTGGCCGATTACATGGTGTCCACCAAGTCCAAGAGTCCATTTCCAAACGGCCTTTGGTTGTAGCAGTCAAGATTGCTTCCATAGTCAACTCCAAGCAAATCACAGTACCTCTTATAGAACCCAATACGATCCTCCACCTGTGCGTTCCGCCCCATACCACATTCAAGCCCACCATTGATAATGTTTGTTATGACACCATAGCCTGGAACCCGACCAGCTGCCGAATCCGCACCAGAAGGTGACCATTGTCCAGTGATGACATTATGGCACGAGGGCTTTGGAGACTGTGGTGTCATCCAAAACCAAATTGCCGTCTTGAAGGAAATTACTGGATCAGTTGCAACAAGGTCAGGATTGTTTAACAGGTCCACCCCTATAGCTCTTCCACACTGCCCATAGTTGTAGTTCCTGCGTCACATTTATCGAATTAAAATAATAAAACTATTTAACTGCAAAGTTGTGGTGATTAAACTTAAAAAAAACTTCGATACTTTTAATTTGACTTTCAATGCTTAATTAACAAGTAATGGATGCATATATCTATAAAATAATTATAATGAAAAACTTGGACTTACCATGTAAGTTGGATAGGACCTCTGCCATAATATTGCTTGCCAGCAGCACATGGATATGTGGAACTTGGAGAACAATAAGATCCAGGATTTTGTTCCCTAGAATAGCAATATCCCCAAGCGTATGGGCCATCAGGTGCAGTTGGCCACCCTCCTACATATACATTCATCAAATGAAGTAAAGCTAATTAACTTATTAATGTTTCCTCTAATATATAATGTTATATGAATAAACAAATATGTAATTAAGCTAATTAATTAGGTTTGAGTTAACTGATCAAACGAACCAGTAGTTTCATGAGAGGTTTGGCCAAAGAAAGCAGCAATCTCTCTTTTACGAGTGGCAGCATCACCAGTAGTGCCAAAGCCAGGGAAGGCTTTGGCAGCTGAGATGAAAGCATCATAAGTGTAAAATCCCTTGGCCGGGCATCCACCATCGTTTCTATGTTTAAGCATCTCATTAAACCTGTCTCTTGAGATGATACTAGCAAGATCTCCTCCACCACCGCCGCCGCCTCCGCCTCCGCCACCACATTGGCTTTGGCAGCCGTTACCACAGTAAGGATCAGTGTTGCCACACCAACCATATTGACTACAACATTGACCTCCTGGACACAGGGCACCCCCAGCCTGCCTTCCACATTGCTCAGCTGAGCATCCTAGCAAAAGGGACAGTAAAAGAGAGAGAAATGTGAAGGCCCAAATCTTCATTTTGGAGTGTTATGCTTGGGATTTTGTTGATTTTGTGATTTTTACAGCACCAGCATATATAGGGGGAACATGGCTAATTAATAATGCTGTCATTTATTAATAAATACTTAGCTTGACTTTTTCAATAACGATGGCTGATCATCCATCCAATCTAGCATGTATACTATTACTTTTTTATGTTATCAGATCTAGTGTGTATATAAATATATTATTTGAAGACAAAAAAAATATTTTTATATTTTTTTATGTGATTATTAAAATTAACTTTTTTTCCTAAAAGATAATCCTTTATATCGATTTACTACATAAGTTTGTATGAATATTAGTTTCAAAATAAATAAATAAAAAGTAGATTTTTTTTTTTTTAACTATTAGGACAACCTTTGATATTAGATCAAGTATAGACATTGAATGATAGTATTAAACAAAAGAAATTATAAAGTGATGTGATGAACAGTACATGGCGGCTTTTAGGGTCTTGTCTGGTTATCTTCTAGTCTTTCTTCTTCTTCTTGTTTTTTTTTTCAATGTGTGGGGATGGTCTACTTTCTTGTTTAATGTGCATGACTTTCGTGGTCATCAGCTGATGTTGCCTTGCCACATTAAAGGGTGAGGATAGACATTAGTTGATCAAGAAAGTAAAGAGATAATGCCGGATTGACCGGGTTCATGTGTTGGAAATCCATTAATTGGAGAGAAGAAGAGGTATCGTGTGTTGAAATTCTATCACAAGGGTTCATCTATGAACACATTATGATCTTTAATGACATTTAAGTAACTTGTGAATAACAGTAAGACAAGGATTTTGTTCTTTTAGATAAATTCTTGTCAAAATGTTAATATCGGAGATGATATATGGTCTGTTCTGGACTAAGGGCTAGTAAATTTCTTAGTGAAAAAATATCAAAAGGCAGTTTCCATGCATCTTCCTTTTTTTTTTTTTGTTATTAAAATCATTTTTCAGTTTATGTTTTCTTTTAACTTTAGTTTATTTTGTAAAACTGAAAATGTATCTCTTCTTCTTTTTCTAATTTTTTTTAAAAAAGTTTCAGCATTTTAAGCATCTCTTATTTTGTGCCCTTCTTTTTCTATTTTCTTTTTAAGTTTCAGCAATAAATGTATTTCTCTTTTTAATGCTGACTTTAAAAATCAAAAGAAAGAACAATATTTTTTAACGGTCGCATAAATTTCTTGGAGTTCATTTCTTATTTCTAAGACGTAAGCTAACGCACGCTAGATTCATCATCCTAGAAAACATAATTATAGTTCTTAAACCCAAAGTCCACGTCAACGTAAACCAACGCAACAAAAAATGCCTCTTTGCTTCGTTGGGTTATCAACTCTAGAAAGCAGAAACCAAATTGTTTTGTCTTTTCAAGGGAGTAGATAAGGAAAGCAAGCAGAGGATACTTTCGGAAAGATAAAAAAAAAAAAATGATAGCATTTGCAACCAGGTGTCAATCCATTACAGCCGGTACTTTAATTCTATGAATGTGGATCATCAAAAAGCAGGTAGGAGATGGGACATTGCTTGCTACTACTAATTATTATCATTGAAAACTAGGTTTAGTTTAGTTCATGCACCTGAACGATATTGTTAAGAGATTGATGATGATATTGTTCAACCTTAGATTGGTAATTTACACTTAGCATTATGCAATCACATATCCCGTATGTTGTCAAATAGAGAAGTTGCTAAAAAAAAAAGTAATAATAAATAAAGATAAAATTAAACATGATAAAAATTAAATGACAAAAACAAAGCAAATATCATAAAAGAAGGATCAAAATAAATAAAACCTTTTCACTAAAAGCAAAAAAAAAAAAAAAAAAACTTATAAACAATAAGATTAAAAAAATTCATTATACATAAGGCATAAACAAAAGTAAAACATACTAGAATTTTAATGATAAAAAAAATGTGAAACTGTATTTAATTTTAGTGTAGAAAGAATAATAATCAAATATAATAAAAATTTAATGATCGAAATAAAAGAAAGATCATAAAATAAAAACCAAAACATAACAAAAAGTTTTATTAAAAGTAAAAAATAGTTTATTGTTGGGAAAAAAATCAAATATAATACAAATTTAATGATCAAAATAAAAACAATTACAAAACAAGGACAAAAATAAAAGTAAAATTCTACTAAATTTAATGGCCAAAATAAGGAAAAAAAAATTACAAAACAAGAATTGTAATAGAAAGAAAATTTTTACTAAAAAAAAAAAGCTTAGGATAGTTAATTTTATTTAATTTTAGTGTAATGATGATAAAAATTAAACATGATAAAATTTTAATGACTAAAATAAAAATATATCACAAAATGAGAACTAAAAAAGAATATAAATTTTTACTAAAAACCAAAAAAATATATATATTATAGGAAAAAAATCAAATATAATAAAAATTTAATATTTATTATAGGGATAAAAATCAAATATAATAAAATTTTAATAATTAAAATAAAAAAATCATAAAACATGGACCAAAATAAAAATAAAGTTAACTACAAGTCAAAACGAGCCTTGGCTATAGCAATCGAGAAAGAAAGGAAAAAAAAAACGTAAACAGTTAATGAACACTGAAAACGCTACGTAACAAACAATAGGGAAAAATAAAGTTTTTTGTTTTCTTTTAGTTTTATTTTGTAATTCGTAATGTAATGTAATATACAAAGTATATGCTTTGAAAGTAGGGAATTATTCGATCTTAATTGTAAAAGTGACCAGGAGAATAGGGCTATTCTAGTTGCACCTTGATTATTAACAGGACTCTTCCAAAGAATCTTTAAGCAATAATAAATTCCTAAACAAATTAATACTACGATATTTAATTAATTAGCGTAATTAACAGCAATGCCTCTGACTTTTCTTTCTTTATTATTATTATTTAAGTTTTGAGCTATATAACAAACATAATAATTTTTTATTACGTAATCACTAAATAGACTATAAATTATTAGGATTGGAATCTTATTTCGCTAAATAAACTAATAATATACAATTGTTAGATTAAGTCTGTTTGTGTCTGATGTTTATTTTATATATATATAAGTTAGATAACAAATGAATATTAAAATTTGTCAGTCCTATAAGTAAAAAATTGATAAAATTGTGACTGAGAATAACTTATAGATGAATTAATATTAGCCGACAGAAGGGGTGTAAAGTTGACTGGGTTAAGATTTTTTCCCTTTCAAAATAATGTCCCTGAGGAATAACAAATTGTTTTGTGGATTAATAATCTAGGTGCAAACTTAGGCCAACAAACAAAGTTTTCACACAGATTCTTTTTTTTTTCTCAATTTTTTTTTCCTAAACAAAGTTTTTATATAATTATATATTGTCAAAGATTAATCCATGCTTGCCTATTCTTTCATTTTCTTTGGCAGAATGGTTTATTTAATCATTTGCTGATCATACAAGTTCTATACATTCCCAAGCAAAAAGGTGCAAATTTCAGAGACAGAAAAAAGATAAATAGTAGAATAATATATATATATGGTTTTTAAAGCCAAAGTTCATTGACCATTTATTTATTCAGGTTTAGTAGATAGACCGCTTACTAATTTCAAGCTGAAGCGCAGTACCTCTTATATAGTTCCCAACTCGATCCACCTGTCTTAATTCCCAGTCCTGATTAGTACATTCCCTGCCACTAGTGATGATATTTGTTATCAAACCATAGCCTGGATTCCGGCCATACTCTTTATCAGCAGTAGATGTGGTGCCCATTTTCCGGTGATGACATCGCGGCACGAGGGTGCATCTGAAGAATGTGGAGTCCTCCAGAACCGAATTGCTGTCTCGAAGGAAATAAGTGGATCAGTTTCATGATAGGTCCGTCCGAAGAAAACAGCTGTCTCTCTTTTACGTGTGTCATCATCACCAATCATGCCAAATTCAGGAAAGGCCTTAGAAACCATCTTCGCTACAACACATTTTGAATAAGCATACGGCACCATAAGTTTGGTTTCCACATTCTGGTGTATCAGCTGAGACACCTAGTAAAAAGGACAGTTATAAAGAGAGAATAGTGAAAGCTCAAAACCTCATTTTCGGACTACGGTTTAATTTGAGAAGGTTACGGGGTAGGTATATAAGAAGGATAATGGAGATAAGGATGCTCTGTTAGGAAACCACTTACAACAAGAACAAAATAGAGAAACAAGAATAATCACACAACATAAGAATTTTATACAACAAAAATAGTCACACAACATAAGAATTTTATATGATTGGATAATAATGTCTATTTTATGATAATACTAGAATTTTTTATTAAATTTTATAAAGTGACAGCTACACCTTAATATGAATAACTAGAATTATATATATATATATATATATAAAACTTTTATTAAACCTATAAATTTTGTTTAATATTCTATAGACCTTTCGAGAGCTCTGCGATCAAACTTTCATAAAGAACACTATACTCTTGACTTCTATTCGCTAATCAATTAATGAGACCATCGTACTATATTCATATAATATTTTATATTGTGAGCTCGTTAATTGATTAATGAGAACATCGTGCTATATTTATATAATATTTTATATTGTGAGCTCACATCTAGGTTCATTGCCACCGTTTAACATACTCCGTCCATACATACAACAAATTAAAATAAAGACCTTGCTTGTTGATGCAGTCTTGCAGAAAATAATAAATAGTATGGATATTGCAGTGGGGCACTGAAATTCATGACCACAAAGATCTTAGCCCGATTTGGAAAATCCTTTCGATAGAATCCATTAGGATGATGGAGATAAGGATATTATCTGTATGGATTTTGCAGTGGAACACTAAAATTCATGACCACAAAGATCATAGTGGATTTGAAAAGATCTTTCAATAAAAGCAATAAAAGTATTCATGAGCCCAATCTAATCTTTTCTGCATCGGTCTCTCTCTAAAGCAAACTGAGAGCCATACAATGATCATACCATTTTTTTCCCAGAAGCCAGAAGAAGACGGTATGACGTTACTGTAGATCAGATCAAAACAAACCATGGAAAATGAACGGTATGGAAATACTAATGCTTCTTATTAAAAGGAATTTATGGAAATTTTATGCGATATACATCAGGGACTTGACAAGGTTATGAAAAAAAAGATGACGGGCCGAGATATATATGTATGCGCTGTATAGATATACGTTTTTTTATTTTTATTTAATCTAGCAATTATGTAACCAAACAATTTTTTTAATAAAATAAAATTCAAGTCCTAATGATTTAATTTTTTTTTATAATTCTATTATATAGAAAAACTACTGCCATTGTATAATCCAAAATCCATGAATTTTTTGATGAATAAAAAGGAAAGGAAAAGAAAAGAAAAGGGACGTTAATGTTGGTTTTATTCAATAATAAGGCAATATCTTCACTATTTCCATCTCTCATCCATATATGAAATTACAATGTGGACAAAAGGCATACATGGTAAATGAATATTGCTGTCAACAACATAATTCATGGAATATGTAGTAGTACTTCATTTACATTTGCTTAATTATGCCAAGCACCAATCTGCCAGATAAATAGCTTAAATTTTCTATTTATCATTATTATATAAAAAAATTCAAACTCCAGATTTTTTTGGAAAAAGACTAAAAATTAGTGCCAGTTAAGCTAAAGTTCATCGACAAATAGCTTAGTTCAGTATAATTAAAAAGGTAGCTGTTTCTATTTTACTTTAAATAAATGTTTTTTTCCGTAGTTTTTTACTTTTTTCAAATTAATATAAATTTAACATGTTATTGACTATTTTAAAAAAAAAAAAGAAATTATATTAGACAATTTTTTTAACAGAAACAGTTACAATAAATAGAAACTTTAATCTTTTTAAAACTTTAATTTTGAAAATTTTAATCATTAAAATCTAATAAATTTTTTTTTTTTTTGGTAAAAGTTAATTTTTATTGACTTTTCAAAACTAGATGGCTTTGGTCAGGTCCCCATGACTGCCAATCAAACAGGCATATACTTCTTAAAGGAAATTATTCACGGTAAGACCCAAACATACTTTTAATTGGGTGCAAACTTCAATGGCCTTGACTAACTGCCCTAAGTATAACTGGGCTAATACAAAAGCCCAAGATCAGAAAAAGCAGGTTTAGTCCAATTGAGTTTGGGCTGCTCATGTTCCCTGCGACCGAGAAGAGCTCAAGATTGCATTATCTTCTTCTTCTTCTTTTTCAACTCCTTTCTGTCTGTTTAATTAGAGCCTCTAACCATCCGATTGCCAGTCCTGTCTGAAGCATCACAATCTCACCTAAACAAAACTAAAAAGTAGAACTCATATAATGTATTAATCAAGTGTTTAGAACTTAATTTTCTTAATGTGATTTTCTTATTTTTTTTATTTGATCTCTTTATTTTAAATATTTTTTAACATGGCCTTTTTAATAAGATTTTGATCAATTTTTTTAATGATAAATAATAGGTGGGCTATAACGTTAGATGTTATTAATGCGTAACATGTCAAAATAAAAGAATTTCAAAAAATAATTTGTTTTTCTTTTTTCTTAGTTTCATTTAATTAATTTTTTTAATTTTTTCAATTAAATTTTTTTGACGTGTCATTATTGTCCAAGGTGGAAGTCCACCTGTCACTTGTTGTCAGAAAATCAACCAAAATTTATTCGCATGCTCGCGCAAGATGTTAAATCTATACATGAAGCAAGACAAAGAACTCCTATATAAAATGAAATGAAAAAAAAAATCTTGATTTTTTGATATTCTACGTAGCTGCAGCATTCTTTAATTTATTTTTATTCTTTTTTCTTAATAATATTATACGCAATAGGTCCTAATATTTTATACACAAGTCCAATAAATTAAAAAAACAAAACAGAGAGAGATGTTACTTGGTATAGACAACTAACACACAGGAAAATGTTGGTTGAGCTTAATTTTTCTTACTAGCTTAATCCTCATTTTATTTATTTTTAGTTAGTTTGAAAATATTCCAATTTAGAAAAATTTTAAAAGAAAAAAAACATTAATTGTTATGAAATAATGAATATCCATATACTTTTCATATCCCTACTACTTATAACTCTTAATGTGATTTAATTCACCATTCAATATAAAAAATTGAAAAAATGATGCAATTGATTCAATAATTTATGTATTTTTAATTGTTGATAGTCCCTTTTAATTCTCTTCTCAATTTTAAAACTTATAAACAGTACTTGATTGTTCATTAGTTTAGTACAAGTATTTTGTAGATATTGAAATAATCATTTGAAGTTGTTATCTCTTGTGTTCATTTTATTGTATAGTGAATTTATTTTTCTATCATACACTTTATATTGTTAAAGGGAGGAGTTTGATCTTTCTTCAAATCATCACCACCGCCATCGTTATTCGAAGACCCATTTTCCTTGTCTTGTTCGGTTCTTAGTTAGGTTGCTCTTGTTGGTTTGTGCAAAGACGAAGAATCTTGGATGTATTTTTCTGGAGATTTTGAGAGGGAAATAATGGAGAGGGAGGGTGGGTTGGGGATGGAGAAGAGTGGTTCTTGAAAATGACGAGATTGGTGGGCGTATTTGTGCCGTAACATTTTGTCTTAGGTATATTAGAGCATTCCAAAAAAAAATTTGGAAAATGGAATATGGCAAAATCTTTATTTTTTTCATCTTGATTAATCGAGAATTAAAACAAAAAACAGAAAAACAGAAGAGAATTTTGGGTTGTAGAATGGAAGACGAAGAACTTATAATCTAGGATGATAACATAATTTTTTTAAAAACAAATAAAATTGACGTGTAAAATGATTTATTATTAGTATTTAAAACACCGACATGTGTAGAAGATTTAATCTATGTGGCAAAAACAACCTTATTTTAATAAATAAAATTAAAACAACCTTATTTTTGTAAATAAGTTTTATAAGTACCCTATTTAAAAAAAAAACTCATGTCATCGGGGCCATGGGAAATTAATCCTATCAAAAGAGACATGTCTAGCCTCAAGATCATAAAAGAAAACATGAGGCAAGTCTCAATCCATGAATAACAAAACGTGTTGAAAGATCTTGTAGAGTTATTAATTATCAACTCCAAAACAAAACTAGGTTAAAAATGAATACAAAAACAGGAGCAAACTATACGAATAAATCACTTAACATTTATGCACAAATTCTTAATATTTATCCATAATGGGAAAATTTTGAATTGGAGACCATGGAAAGAATCTTTAAAACATCACCCGTTTTGTTGTTTTATCTTTATTGCAATTTTTTTGTGGGTTCAATAAATGTTGTCACTAAAATAAGACGGTTATTTTTTTATTATTAAAAACTAATATGAATCATATATTGGGAGCTTATTTAACGAACTTAAGTTTTTAGATGAGATGGTTTTTGATATGGTATCAAAGTCTTTATGACCAAATAATCATAAGTTCGAATTCTATCACTCTTACTTTCTCTTCTAATTAATTAAAAATAAATTTGATTTTAAAAGCATCGGGAATGAGAGAAATTTTGGATAATTTTGCTCCTACCATATTACATTTGCATTTCTGGACTTTTTTTCATTGATGTGTTCAATATATATATATAAGAAATAAACACCAATAAAAAGATAGCTACAATACACTATTAAATTAAATCTTACAACATCCCAACACATACGTACCAACATAATTACCTAATGGTGGATAAACACTCCACTTAACATTGTAGTAACCCTATAGTTTGCAACCTTAATTTCTATGCTTATTCTTGAAACCTCTTCTATAAAGGTGATGAGCAACTTCTTAATTAATTTCTTTTTCATCTATGAAAAGCTATCTCATATATATATATATATATATATATATATATTACCTTCTTTGATCTAATTAAATTAAGAAAAAAATCAACCAAGGATTGCATTTAAAGCGTCTATACTGTAGAGAGTTTCTATGAAATTATTGTTAGAGTATTATCCACTAATTTAATTTTTGAATTGAAGTAATTTTTTAATAATTCTAACTTTCAATTTAATAAATGAAAAAACAAACCAATTATTTAATGGCTTATACCTGCAATCCATACGAGGGTTTTTCATCGTCTTTATGTCTTTTTTTTTTCCTATTAAAACGTTGTTTTATCCATGCAACTACAAACTCCAAAAGCAAAAGAAAGGACGAATACTAGTGTGGACCACTAGTGATAAAAGATTGGGTATTGATTTCGACAGGACATCATTTGGTGAAGTCGACAACTCATCCTTAATAATGGCTTCTCCGATAGATCAGGTGTTAAATGTGAATATCAAAGTTTTTTTGTACCTAGGAAATCTCAAGAATAGTTATAAGGATCCCTGGTCCTGAAGTTACAAGTAGAATCCTAGAAAAGGCTGGTCCATCGGATCATGTTTTATGACAATAACAGCACAATTATTGGTTTTGTTGGGTTGTTCTTAATTATTTGAATTTTGTACGTGTTTAGTATATGACTAAAAACATCACGTGTATATGTGTGTGTTTGTCGGTTGTTTTGAAAAAATACTACCACATCCATATATATCTTTGTTTGTTATTAATAAATAATAAAGGCTGGAGTTACTAAAAAAGCTATATATGTGTGTGTTCGAGAAGGATGCTTGACAAGGTACAATGCCATATATATCTTTTTTTTCCTAACAAATATTTCACGCTATAGTTATGAAAAAAGCTTTGTTTTCCACACAGACAATAATAGTGAATGAACTGATGAAACAAAAAAAAGTAACAAGGCCATGACATGCTGTAATTGTACTTATTCGGATGTTGATAAATTTTTGAGACATGGAAAATGGTTAATTATTATGTTTATTCAATAACAATGGCTTATTTTTTCTTTCACATATCTTATTTACTATAGGAGTCTTTATATGGATGCTTCTTTCATCATTCCTATGATTTTTTTTAATTATTAGAAGTATATTTTAGTTAATTTATGTATAAATCAAAAT